TCCACGGCCTGTTAGAGGCATACTTTTACCTTCTTACCGTTACCCATCTAAGCACATATCTCCCAAGTAATAGCTTTCCTACCAAATTTGCAACCAACGGTTTTGCATTTCTCTCTTCTCTCACCTCCCATAAGCGCTACAGTCCCCTGCAGTTTCACGCATCTTTATATTTGGTCACCGGACAGTAATATGCGGAGAGAGTAACAATTTTGAACCTTCCGATTATGTAATTTTTCTACGCTCTTACCTCCTTCCCGTTAAGTCCTCAGCGATGCGCAAGAAGAGAACGTTTGTGTCTGCGTTCTTGTCGCGGTCGCTGCTCACAGGTATTTCCTCCCGTGAGCTCATTCATTGACTAACTCGTCTGCAGTGAAATCAATGTCGCGGCAGAAGTAGCTGTCATGACGTCACCGGAAAGAATAAATCGAAGTGTCATCTTATAAGCGATCGGCGTAATATTTCTTTCCATTCAATATATGATGTGTAATACTGACTCCATTGTTTTAAAATATAATTACCTCACGACTACCACAGGACGTTTATAGAGGTGTATACCACTTCTTTCATAAAAAAGAACAGCCTATTCATATCTTCATCTTGTCATTTTTCACAGCTATCAAAGCTTCTGACGTCATACAATCCCGCGGACTCCCAGAGACGTCATATAGTGCCTCTACTTAACATGGATCCTTACTTAATTACGTACTCAGGAGCTGAACCCTTCTTGAGGAGCTGCCAATTCTGCAGCTACTCAAGAATTTCCCAGCATTTTATGGAAGACGAAGGTTCATTACCGTGTTCACAAGAGCCCTCCACCGGTCCATATCCTCAGCCAGATCAATCCAATCCATACCATCCCATACTGTCTCTCTAAGATCAATTTTAATTTTGTCCACCCACCTACGCCTTGGTCTTTCCAGTGGTCTCTTTCCTTCTGGCTTTCCCACCGATAGCCTATATGCGTTCCTGTTCTCTCAAATTCGTGCTACATCCCCTGCCCACTTCATCCTCCTTGACTTCATCATTCTAATTGTACTTGGAGAGGAGTACAAGTTATGAAGCTCCTCATTGTTCAGTTTTCTAAGAATTTTGTGATTCCTCACAGTGACCCCAGTTAAGAGCATACAGAGTTTACAAACTCGTTATCTTCAGTTTTTTAGACACTGCCCTTAGAAACCATTTACTGGATATATATATTTTTTCAGGAGTCGGGATAACTCAGTATAACGACAAACTACGGGGTACCCGGTAGCGTAGTTGGTTGAGGCACTATGCTATAAACCGGAAAGGTGCGGGTTCGATTCGCGTTGAAGTCATTGGATTTTTTCAATTTACTTAATCCTTCCAGCCATCTTAGTTTCCGTATGAGAGTTTCAAATCTCATAACCTTAAAATTAACCGCAATGTTCTCAAACCACGTATACATCAACCATGGAAATATAATTATGTCTGACAACATTTATTCTGACGCAATTTCATCTGATTTATTACTGCGTATTTTCTCCGAATGCCTCAATTTGTGGTGTATAGACGTATGTTGACTTCTGATGTAAAACGTTTTAGAAAGTTAGTTCAGAAATGCTAACTTTCTAGGAAAATATAAACTTCATAAGGCAGCACGTATGAATTAGGCCATGTGGACACGGCACGGCGCATTTCAGAGATATACTCACGGTTTAAACGAATTACGTGTTAACACGGTTTATAAGTGTTACAGTACACTGGTTGCAGTTAACTTTCTCCAGAAGTCCACCAAGTGTGTTTCTGTTGTTACGACATGTAGTGACCGTCAATCGTTAATGAAAGCATTTCTTTTTCATTCGTCACACGAACATAATCATTACGTCACACACCGAGGGCAGCGTCAACTTTAAAGAGCATTTCCCTTTCCTGTACAATACTCTCTAGCTGGTACGGCATGGANTATATAAATTCGCTTTTAATATGGGGCTCAATGTGTAACGTGTATGTTCGAGATTAGAACAAACACTGCGCTGGTGGTATATATATATATACTATTAATTTCAATTTAGGTACTGCGAATTTTCTTAGTTTAAACTGAGGACTGCATAGTATTTAACAATCGTGGATCTTAGCAAAATAATTTCGGCCTTTAGGTGTGTCCACATCCTTGAGGGGGCATTTCACTTCCACCCATTCCGTCTGCAAATATAAAAACTTTTAACAGCTGCTTGGATTTTCATAAAATTTGGTAGAAAATTGCCAAGACATTTAATTTATCATTTAGAACAGACGAAGAATTTGATACGTCTCTTTGCGTATCTCTAAATATTTACTGCTGAAGGGAATGTTTCGAAAAACGGTCTTTATAGAGGAATGGAATACCCATTTCTTGTCCAATACATTTCAGCCGCAGATCTTACGGTTTTCGATATAAGTAAATAAAACTTGTGCAATGCGGGCACCGACAATCAGCCGTGGCCTCTTGGGTGCAGTTGCAATTAGGAGAGAGTAAAAAATAAACAAAAGAATCCTTTATTGAGTTTGGACTGCGCTGATATCAGGTTTATTTTGTTCTTTTATTGCTGATAGTACAAGCCTATAATTTTAAATTCACATTAATTCGAACAAATATAAAACAACTGTGAATATGAAATATACTACTTTAAGGAATGTAACGCCGTCTAGGCCGGTATAAATCCACTGACGTTTCGGAGAAAAGTACTGTCTGAATCTTCGAGGTCAAAAAATAAGCCAATAATGAGGCAGGAAATATTTACTAGTTCTTTTCTTGTATAATCTTCTACTCTGAAGATGGAGACAGTGCGATCCTCCGAAACTTTGGTGTACTTATGCCGGATTACATTGCCTTAAATCCCAGAAAATAGTGCTCTTCACAGTCACCGCTAAGGGAACTGAAACCCAACACGACAATGGACAGTTCCACATAAATTTGTTGTTTTTTTCAATGTAAGGGAAGAGTTACTTCTAGTCTTCATAATTTCAAAGGAGGGCACGTGGTAGCACAGTAGGTTGGGGCACTGTGCTACAAGTCGGAAGGACGTGGATTCAATTCCCGATGAGGTTATTGGATTTTTCAATTGACCTAATCGTTCCAGCAGCACTATGACCCTGAGGTCGACTCAGCCTCTGACAGAAATGAGTACCAGGAATCTTTCAGGGGGTATAGGGCGGCCGGCGCTTGAGGCTGACAACCTCATAGCCATTAGTGAGCCGATTGTCTAGCAAATGTGACTCTTCGACGTAAGATATCACTATGGGCCTCCACGGCTTCTCACAGAAATAGCCTTACCGTTTTATAAACTTTACCTTCAAAATTTCATATGTAATTCATTCTGCGGGGTCGGCCCGTTGAATGTACACCGTGCACTTTCACAGTCATAGTGTCTTATTAATAACACAGGACTCAACCTTTTTTGTGGCTGCTACGCCTAGCGAATAAAAAGACCTGCTGGAGAGGAAAAGGCCAACTCGCTTTCAGTCCCTCATTCGTCATGGGTTGAACAATGAACAACATGGCACGCAAAGATGCCGACGAAGCACGCCAGTCAGCAGAATCATGGCTGTCGGGGACAGGCTGAAAAAGAACAAACTCTATCAATCCATGCAGCGGAACCCTACTTGAGAAGCTAATAACTGATAACCCACGAAGTTCTTCGCCTTATGAGGAACCCGAAGGTTCGCTACAGTGTTGAAAAATATCTGCCAATGACCCTATTCCCAGCCAAGAACTGATTTTAGCAAATCTCTGGAGTTATTTTTATCAAAGCTATCTTTTGGCTAAAGTTCACTACCTGCCTAGTAAACCCGTACAAACCGCTGTTAACAAAGCTCTACAAGAAGAAGTCAGAAGGTTTCAAAATTGGAGATCTCGTAATCCAATTAATTGGGTATGGATAGTGGAGAGGAAGGTAAGGTATCCCTATTCGGCCTTGAAAATCACTAAATTTGACTCCCCACGACCCTTTTCTTGTGAAATTGCTTTACACGTGTATTATTGTGCTGTGTAGGTGACAAATAAAAAGAAAACGGTTATTGTGTCTGCTGAAAACATTAACTCCAGAGATTGGCTAACATCATTTATCACTTAAATATTTCTTATGAAAAAAAAAGTACGGAAATTTAGTGATAGGAAATTTTGAGTTAAATTTCATTTCAATGAGTGTTTTTCTAAAGGATGAGTCAGTCTGCTCAATCCCAAAAGTAACTTTCTGGATATTTTGTAAATTATTCTCGGAGAAATTAAACATAACTTCATACATACCCATCTTCGCAGTGATACTGTGCACACCATAAATCTCAGCAACAGCAATTGCATATGACATGGATAAATATTCATCATTGTTGCGTAATACAAGAACTATCCAGTGTTGGTCAGTACGCCTGTTTAGAATGTGTCAGAAACCGTTTCAACTAACGGATATGCGGTATGATCTAGTTGTTACTGAAAATATAGCCAATACTATGGCTCCTAACTTGAATTCGGATTTTTATCAGCAGATGCAGTAATATATAGTTCTTACTAGTGAATACTAGCTTTATCTACTCTGGTTACGAGTTTCCAGTTCTTCTTATAAGGACTGATAGTAACGGGTTCCGATATCTGGTCATGGATAAGAGAAAAATGACTACATTTCAGAAATCATGTTTCAGAAAAGTGCTACATTACAGCAGTTTATCAGTGATTAGATATCCTTCAGTTCCAGTGATACACACCGAATCTCCATCTTGTATAACATCCATTTGGACGATTGATGAAGGAAATGGAAATGTAGCATTAACACAGACCTAAGGAGACAGGCAGATGGTGAGAATTATGGGTGGGTGAAAATTGCCCGCGATCTTGTTCTGTTATATTGGTACTAAAATCATAACAATTTCGGGTTCTGTTAAAATGTTATTGCAAATTTCCGACCTTGTCTTTCCCACTCTCTGGTTTTTGCAAGAATGAACCCTTTTGAATCCACTCTAAAAAGAATCTCCAAACAAAAATCTGAAGAAGTGTCTCTTGTTTGCAGTGGTGTGTTGGAATGTCAGCTCTGCTGATGATGTGTGCTGCTGTGTCTGTAAACGCACAGTATCAAGAGCCTTACGAAAATCAGCAGGGTCCTTCTCACTATGATCAACCGCAGCGACCTCTTCCAGTCATTCTAATGCACAAGCAAGCCCTCGCTCAAGATGGCTCCTTTAACTACGCCTTCGCCGCAGATAATGGCCTCCAGCAGGGCGAATCCATCAGCCCAGATGGCACCAGAAGAGGATCTTATTCCTACGTTGATCCTAATGGCAAGAAGATCAGCGTAAAGTATACTGCAGGAAAAGAAGGATTTAGGATCTTGGAAGGTGATCACCTTCCTAAAGCTCCTCCAGCACCTGTGGCAGCTGCACCTGCTCCAGTACCGCAAGGTGCCTTTGCGCCTAGACCGTCTCATTACAGCGCCGCACCATCCTATCCTACCACGGGTTATCAAGGCGCCGGAACCAATGCTGTGTTCCGTGCCCAAGAGGGCGGCCCCTACTATAAGGTGTATGATGAGTACGAGAACAAGTCCGCCTTCAAGAGTCCATATCAGGCCACAGCACCCGCGTCTTTCCCGGCAGCGGAACAGCGACGCCCACCTACACAGTATGGCAGAAGCAATGCGCAACCCGACGCCGAAGGCAGGCAAGAGCCGCACACTTTCGGCGGCGGTTATGCCTTCCAGTTTTCTGGATGATGTTTTCGTGACTAAATATACAAATGAGACTTCGGATTTTTTTTTGTCGGCGTCTTGTCTCGATCTTGGTATTTATTTTCTATTTATATTGAATGAATTTAGTAAAAATTTGTTTACAAGTCCAGTGGTCGAAGCTGTTCACAGTGATCTGCTTTGAAACGCCAATATGGCTTAGACAGCGACAAATTTTGGTTCTGCATCACGGTTGGTAACGATAACAGTTTAGTTTAGAGACAATACTAATTACGGATTTCCCGATTTTAAAATGTGAAGTGTGTCTGTGACGCTAGAGTAATCTTTCAGTCACACTCGCAGGTTCGAAGTGCTAACTGTTTATTTATGCTTTGTATTCTACGGGAATGTTGAAACTCTTTTACCAGCTTTTGGAGGAATATTTTACATTAAGCACCTTGGAAATTGAAAAATTTAAATGTTAACTGTTGTTTAAAAATGTCTTTTATTTTGAGAATAACAATCCTGGAATATAAATACACTAACCCGGAAAATATTATTATGTTTAATTATATCAAATATATTCATTTTAATTTTGGAAATCTGTGAATAAAAGATGCACTTATAGTATTCAGACTTGTAGCTGATATATATGTATTTGTATTTATTATCAACCTTTTATTGTCGCATTAAATTTTATTAGAAAACTGACCATGTTCCTCTATTGTAAAGTGTGAAATATAACTTGCATATGGATCAAACCATTGCGTTTCTTGGGAACAAACACCTACACTTTCAAGGAGTAGCTAACGTTGATAAACCAGAGGAATATTGTATGCCAATATACACATTAATTTTCATACCATAATTTGTATGCTTTATTTTTTTCTGTTTTAAGCAACTACGGCAGCACCGCTATATTCTATGCCCAGAGATCGAAATTTGTGTCCACAAAATTTTAATTTTTTTTTTCTAAAAATATGAAACTACTACAGTTACATTTTTTTATATTAATCATCAATATAGTAGAAATTACAATGGTTACTGATAAGGTAGTTAACTTCTTACTTGACATTTATAATCTCAGTATATACAAGTAAGAATAATATATTTTATTATTAAAAGAGGTTATTTCTCAAATGTTTAAATTTCTGTAAAGAGAAATGGATCTCAATTGGAGGCGTATAGTGATCGTTGGAAAAAGAAACGTACCTATAAGAAGCAGGTATTCTCTTCAGTTCACAGATGACGTTTCAACATCGCACTAACAATAAGCTCTTTGTTATCATAGTGTTCACATGTTGTTTTCAAAATAAATATGTGTCTGCATATATTTTATTGTGTTTTATTATCGAAAGCCTTAACTGAACCAAGAGGATAAAGGTTAAGGAGAACATAAGTACTCTACTTGGTACTGTCATTTCCAGTTGCGTGACCTGGGCATTTTTATTCTTAACTGGTGTTAGTAATGCAAAGAAAAGTCTGCTACTGGCAGAGCCTAACAATACTACAAATATTGCACTGCAGAGAGTAACATGAAATATTAATATCCCCAAAACGTCGTGGTATCGGTTTAAGCACGCTAGAACTGAAATTCCTAAATCCATTTGTTTCAAAGTAAAAGCACAATTAAATGTCAATAGTTAAGGACAGAAGCCATAAAGCTTACAGACAATATTTTTTTTTTCAACGCAGTATTTTTCAGCAGATGGAGTTGCTGTTCAAGAGCACGTGTTTCGGAACATATGAGTACCATCTTTAATAAAACAAATATGATCTTCAGTGATTTGCAGAACAGGATGAAAGGGTCAAGAAGCACATATTCCTATTGCACACACTTCCAGCCCCACAAACCTTAAATTGTTAAGGCCGTATATAGATAATGCGAGGATAAGTGTATACTCCAGCAATGGAATTCAGTTTGGAACAGAGCGCTGAATTCGCGCGAATTAATGTTGGTGTAGTCAAATTTTTAACGCCTCTAATTATAAACATATTTTATTATTATTATTATTATTTATCTTTTAAAAATATCTTATACTTAAGAACAGATTCTTTCTACTTAAATAAGGCGACTTTTCTCTGCTGCTTCCTGGCTTTATCCCCTTGGGAACTGGATGAATTAATTTCTTACTTTCAAAATTAATTAATCTCTTGACTTATTATATTAGTGTAATTATATCTACAAATTCAGTTCCATTCTTGCATTGCTTCACCAAAAGGTTGCAAGGACTATTCGCTTAGTACTGTTTGGAGAAATAATTGCTATTCATTCTGAGGGTCATACGAAACACAAATACGTCCATCCTGTGCAGAGTTCTTAATGTTAAAAAAAAGGTATAGGTAAATTTATCCCTGTAACAGGCTGTGAAGGCCCACAGGGCTGTGAGACGTCGAGGCTCCCACACTTTATAGACAATCGTCTCACAGATGACGGTAAGGTTGTCAGTCTTACGCGCCGGCCGCGCTTTACTCCCCAGGAAAATTATTTAATTAATTCCGGGTATTCATTTCTGTTAGAGGCTGAGTAAATCCCAGGGCCTAGTGCGGCTGAAAAAAATCCAATGACCTCATCGGGATTTGAACCCGCGACCTTCCGGCTTGTAGCGTAGCACCTCAACCACTACGCTACCACGTGCCCCCGGTCAGCCCACTACAATGTTATAGGGTCAGCCCACTATAAGATTTTTTAAATATGAAAACAGGGCATGTCGAAGATGGCTATTGGTGTGTTCAAACATATGGGAGAGCCAGGACAGCTCAGGTAACATAGTTACTAGGTTAGGGGCTGAAAGACTGCGAAATTCGATTCCCGGAAAGAGGAGAGTATTCTCTGTCTCCACACAGTCCGCATAAGATTAAGGACCAACCCAGCCGCTGTCCAAAGACTATCAAAGCTCTTTCTCCATGAGATAAACTGACCGGGATGTGAAGGGGACCACATATTTCCATCTGGGGCAGAGGTTAAGAAAGCATGCGGCTACACCTCCCTTTCCCAACTCGTTCTACGGCATGTCGCAGGGTTAATCATAAGAGAAACTTGACGTTTGCCTTTATTTTTGTGGACCTATATACAGTATTAGAGACAGGATGGGATGGTATTGATTGGATTGATCTGGCTTAGGATAGGGACCAGTGGAGGGCTCTTGTGAACACGGTAATGAACCTTCGGGTTCCATAAAATGCTGGAAAGTTCTTGAGCACCTGCAGAAATGGCGGCTCCTCCAGAAGGGCTCAGCTCCATGAAAAAGTAAGTAAATCTATAGTATTATCCATATGTGGTGTGTGAATGTAGAGCATGATACGTGACCGGAAAGGACCAGTTTAAGTTAAATGCATGGCATAATCTGCTACACAAAGCCTAGAATTGCAAAGGACTTGTATATGCTCTGTATACTTATAATGGATGCTAACATGTACTGTTGATGTAAAACTGTAAATAGTAAGTACATAGCTTTTACAACGACTCGGAGAGTTGACAAGGGACGGAATATGTACAGTGCATATATGCAGGCCTGTAGTAGATAACATGTAGAGCTGACCATGACCTCGACAATTGACAGGTCTGTCCTCTCGTCCTCACGGCAACAAAAGCACAACTTCTTTGACAGGAACGAGAATCTGCTGATTAGCCCCAGATGGGGCTCAATATCAAGACTGACTGACTGACTGATTGTCGGTCTTAACGTGAGTTTGACTTTCACTTCGACATTCACCACACTGACCCTGAAGACGGAGACGGGGGTGGGGGGATCTGAAACGTCAGTTTTTAACTCAACATTGACACGGCTGATCAACCGAGAAGGTTTTAGCATCTATATTCGCCGTGAAAGCTTCAAATCTTACAAAAAAATGGGAATAATTTGCAAGAACTGAAGAGAAATGTTGGAGGCAAAAGATGAATAACAAAGAAGAATGGAAACTTATCATAAAGGAGGCCAAGGTTCTTGGAGGGTCTTAGACCAGGATTAATTAAGTAACGCATAGTATTTGATAACTACAACAATGAAACATCATCATCATCATCATCACCATCATCATCACCATCATCATGTAGTTGGTTGAGCCACTGTGCTACAAGCCGGAAGGTTGCGGTTTCGATTCCAGATGAGGTTATTGCATTTGTCAATAATCATAATACTTCAAGCCGCATTATGGTCTTGGGACGACTCAGCCCCTAATAGAAGCAAATCCCAGGAATCTTCCTCGGGGTAAAGGGTGGCCGGCGCGTTAGGCAGGCACCCTCACAACCAACTATGAACCGATTGTCTAGAAAATGAGGGAGACTCGACGTCTCACAATCCTATGGGCTTCCAAAGCCTCTGGAAGGAATAAGTTTAGCTTATTATTATTATTATTATTACTATTATTATTATTATCATCATCATCATATCATTGTATATATATACATACATAGTAATATTTTACGAAGGGAAGAGCGCTTAGCCTCCTGCATAATCGTTGCTTATCAGTAATTCTGACATTACAGTTTATCTCATGACGAACCTCCCTGAAAACTTTACATCTCACAAGATTCAAGATTCACAATTTGGAAACAATTCTTCTCCGCTGAAGATACTGAAGCAACTTGTACTCCAGGTTTGGCACGGTTCAATGCCCGTGTGGGTAGAGTATGGTGCCACAAATTGCAACAACCAATAGCCGCCCAGTCCACCTGTTTATTGCTGGAAAATTGCCCGGCCTCCTCTTTGTGAAGTTGTAGTTTATGTGACAGGTTATGCAGGTTGCTAGTCTTCCCCACGATAAATCGGGCCACAAATGAACTGTACGCCTCTTTGAGGAAACGGTTTTCAGATCTGCTCTTCTAGGCGGCGAGCACAGTAAGAGAATTGACTCCAGTCCAGTATTATTTTATTTGCAATTTATTCAGTGACGCTATCCCCGTAAATCATAATATACAGCAGTAGTTCCAGAGGTGGGTTGTACCGTCCCCTAGGGGCTGTGAGATTGCCTACGAGGTCGCTAATAAGAGGCAAGGGGCGGCAAGGGGTGCTGGAGGTGGGCCCCTCGGTACGCGTTTTTGGTCTTATTTAACATTGAAGTGAATTTAGACCAGACATTGGAAAACTTCTATTACTGCATCAATCCCAGTTATCGTATTAAAAATTTACTAACAGTGAAGTATTTACTAGGACCGCCTCTGTGGTCTAGTGGTCAGAGTTCCTGGCTACAGATCCCGAGGTCCGGGTTCGATTCCAAGTGCTACTAGATTTTCTGAGTAGTAGCGGGTCTGGAACGGGGTCCACTCAGCCTCGAGGATAATTGAGGAGCTAGTTCAAGGAAAAAGCGGCTCCGGTCTGGAACACCAAAAGTAACGGCCGTGGGGATTCGTTGCGCCGACCACACGACATCCTCTATCATCTAAAGTTGGCACTAACTTCACCGACAAGCGGCGGGCGCTCGGTCAGTATAGTTCATTTGCGGACTACAAGCCACGAAGTTAGTTTTTTTTTAAGTATTTACTAGATGCGGTATCTTATTTTAGTGTTCATATCTTCCTTAGCGGGTTGTGCAAACCGTATTCTGACGAATGCTTTTGATAGGGTAGGGCAGGGAGCAGTGGTAATGAGTTTATCGACTGCTATGTAGTAATAGGTTGATTGAACGATATTGAATTTTAAATTATGTGAAAGGAAGCGACCATGACCTAATTGATATTCCCTCCCGGCATTTGTCTGGAAGGACTGAAGAATCCCTAAAACTCTAAGTCAAAATAGCTGGTGTCCCGGGAGAAATTCGAAACGGGACTCTCTAGAATACAAGCCAGAAGCATCATCACTTCAGCCAGCTTCCTCGATTCTGTCGAGTGGAAACAAGCCAGACGCGCTAGGATGCAGGAAAGGAAGATCCTCAGCTCAATACGGCCCAACTCTATTCAACTCGACCCATGCAGTGTGACAAATGAGGCCTCTAGAGTAATTCTGCGCAAAACACACAACAGCCTCAGTATAGTCTGTACAGAAAACTATATGACGTAAGTACAACTTACGGTTGTTAGTAGTCAACCTATAACACCGTCAAACCGCAATGAGTAGTCACACAGTGACGCGATTTTTCCAGTTTGAAGCCATGACGTTAATAAAAACTATGAACAGTTGCGGTTATTTAGTACCCATGACGTCATCTGTAACCAGTGACAAATTGCTTGAAATAATCTGTTTAAGAAAGTGGAAGATGAGTAAGTGACTCTTCTTAGGCCGCGCCATAGCTCAAGCGGTTAGTCGCTGGCTTCCCACCGCAGCGACCAGGGTTCAAGCCCGGGTCTGCTCAAGTGGGATCTGTGGTAGACAATTGGCGCTGGGGCAGGTTTTC